AGTGAGGATTAAGTGGTGTATAGATAATGGATGGATGAATGTTTTTGGACTGTGGGAGGACGTGACCCTTCTATCTGCAAGGCAACGGTGCTAACCACCGAGAAACCTTGCAGCCCAGTATAAAAGATGATGAATGAAAACAGTCAAATCATGAGCAGAAATATAATCTGGCACACACACACCCTTAAAGATTGAAGAATAGTTTGCTCCTATCCTGTTAGTAGGCATTTATTTATGTCATTTTTGCACTTGATTTGTGAAAACAAAAGGTACTTTAACACCAAAGAATGAAAACCTTCCTAGCTGCAGGAAGTCACCTCATGTGGTTTAGAAAACAATCATGTTCAGTCTTTCAAAATAGCTTTTCTGATAATAACTTATATCATTACTAACTATGATATTTTTTAATTAACATCTAACAATTAGTAGCATTTTAGGAGATGTGACAACATACATTTTGTTCAAAAAATCTCAGGTTTCGACGATTCTTTCTCATGAGCAGCCAAGCCAAAGAAAGTGCTGTACGAAAACACTTCTTGTCCCCTTTTGAATGAATTCAGCATTCAGCACAAAAGTGTAACTGGCATTTATGTTTTTATATGTTTTGTTTTTTTCCTCTTCTAGCGGGTGTCCCTTTCCTGATTACAGCAGAGCTGTTTAAACAGTCCCACCGTCCAGCAGCTTACATCATAGGAGGGTCACTTAACTGGCTGTCTAATTTCACTGTGGGCTTCGTCTTCCCATTTTTACAGGTGAAAACAATACACTGTGCTGTCCTGCATCTCTTTCCTAAATGTTACCATCATTAGGGGTGCTAAAGGCTTCCCAAACTCAAAATCATTAGAACTGGTTGAAACGATCATTGACCACCCACCTAGTTTATTCTCCACTTTTGTTTTTAGACATTAAGAAGCTTCCAACAGTGACTGCTTTTGTAACGTTTTCATAAACCTCTGACCAGTTCTCCTTTGCATGACTGACTGGAGAGCAGCTTGAAAGATCAAGTGATATTTATATAAGCAGTTTAAGATATCAGTCATACATCCCATTTACGTGTTGATAGTAGACCAGTCTCACACTTGCAACAAAGACCAAATCAGGATTGTTTTAAAATGTATTTAAAAACCAATGCAACATAAATTCTTAATGGCTTCCTGTACTGTCTGTCTCTGTTTGAATCCATTCCTGTCAGACGTATGCTCTGGTCACTGGTGTTGTCTACATGCTTCTGTTTGTAAACAAACTAAAAATGGTGTTGGTCACTTCTGAGACCCTCAGTTTGAAATTCATGTTTCTCTCCTTTTTGCTCTACCCCTCCAATTGTCTTCTATCCATCTGCCCTATCCAACCATCAGATGTCAGCAGGGGCTTACTGCTACTTGGTTTTTGCCACCATTTGCGTGTTTGTCGCTGTCTACGTCTATATCGTGATCCCAGAGACCAAAAACAAGACCTTCATGGAGATCAGCCGGATGTTCTCTAAGAAGGAGGCGGTCCTCGAGACCCAGGGTCTGATTCATGTTGATCAGCTGAAGCTGAAGAAGATGAATGGCTACGGTGGTGTGGAACATGCTTCACTGGAGTTTGACAGCTCTTCTTCAGTACCTTAACTGAGCTTCAGCTTCTCACTGAGATGACAAAACCCTTGATTACTTTGATATGTACCCTTTAACTAAACGACACCTAACCTGTATTTAGAGGGTTCTAATTTAGTGAAGCTGGACTCCCCACTTGGACCACAATCAAGTGGAAATATGGTTAAATAAACAGTGTTGTATGCTGCCCTGGTATTTGCAACTTCTTCTATCAACTTAATGCATCTATTTATACCTTTTTTTTTTCTTTTTTTTAAAAATCCAGTTTTTTGCTTCATTGGTTCGGCCATTTCCCACCCAAAGTACAATGTATGAATCAATGTGATAGCTGCAATCTGGGACATGTTAAAATCCCTAGAAAGAAGTATGACAAGACAAGAAACATAAGCAGTCAAACCACTCAGCAGGTTAAAAACAGACCTGACAAACATATTTGGAGAGAAAATCCATCACAATTTATAGACCCACATCTCACTTCATCTGTACTGTACCAACGGTAGTTTAGTTTTTCTAAAAAAGGGGGATTGTTAGTTACATTTCAGGTGCCATTATTTTCAACTTGTCTTCTAAGTAAAATGAATAAACTGTGAGATAGTTTGTTTTCATCAAGTGTCACCATGTCACTGTTCACAGATCTCAGTCATAATTATTTTGGTGGATACAATGTTATTGAAATAGTTAGGAATAATTGACAAGACTACAAAAAGTTTCATGCCAGTTTATTATTATTATTGTTGTTGTTATTATTATTATTATTATTGAATAATGGACTGTTTAGTGACGAGTAAAACCATTTGCAATATAAAAACATATCTTCAAGCATCAGATGGGGATAACCACTCATGCTATGTAAGCACAATGAAGACTGGGGACATCGTCTTTCTACATAGCTTGCTAACAATATTCTTGGGGGGGAAAAAAAAGAAGAAGCAAAGGTGGCAACTGGAATGCATGAGACTGAAACAGCTGTAGAGGCTGCTAGAAGTTAAGGTACAGAAATAACAAATCTTATATTGACATATTTCTTTGATCATCATTAAAAAATGTTACATGCTTTAACGACTGCTTCCTGTTTTTTCTTTTTATGTAAACTGTAATAGATGTTTACAACATAAGGTTAGGGTAGTTTGGCTTAATAAAAGCTAGAAACATAAAGGTAAAATTGTATTAAACTGTTTTTCTGTCAGTCTACTGTCATATTCAGGATGTTGATCTACAGCTTTTGTCAGCGGGGTCAGTGTTACTGTGGGTGGGGGGTTTGAAGTGTCTATCATGGCATTTTAATGAAAACTGTAACGTAAGTTTCCGTAGTTTCTATATTGGACACAGCTGGTTGCAAACCATAGTGCACCTATTTCCATTGTGTGAATGCTATATGCTTAAGTTTTGTACATCAGTGTCCCACATGTCAGCATGGGAACATACAAAACAAAACACAAGAATTTCATATGAAGTTTAAGGTTGTCTTAGCAAAATAATCAGAGCAACTTGTCATTGATGCATGTATTGATGCCGACAATTTTGCAGTGATAATGCCACCTTGTAGCACAATATCAGCACAGTATGAATTTTTAAAAAGTCAGATCATTAAACAAACAAGACAGAGAATGGAGGACCTGTTATAGATGATGCACGGTGGTGTAAAATCCTAACACCTAAATAATGTGGAGTAAAGGTGGCATGTTTGAGGTACCTAAGGGACTTAGGGACTCTCTATCATTGCCTGCATTGCACAAATAGTCATCTACCTCTGCTCGATGTCCTTCCCTCTGTCCTCCATCTCTGTGAGCTGGTGAGGTTAAGTGTGTAAATGCTCTGGCAGATAGCTGATGAATGTAGCACTCCTCTGCTACAGGCTTTAAGTGTTTTGTGTGCAAGTGTGTTACGACTGGGCCGGCCTGATCTTTATGCTTCAGCACCATGCTGCCACACAGACAGCTTTGTGGCCATGCATGTGTTTCTCCCTCACATAAATACACCAATGTACTGGCTGGAAATTCTCAGAGAGGGCCTGAATGCAGGGGACTCAACTCCATGTAGGGACTCAACTAGAAAATATCAGCTCAAGTTCAGCTTGATTATTTTGTACTATTTTTGTTAAATAATTTTGAAAATGTTAAATTTGCATATAAAAACCAGACACCACAAACAAATAAAGGGCAGTCATCCATAAAGGCTTGGCAAAAGATGTCTGAGAAAACTACTAGTAGCCCACATCCTGCAGCAGATAATGTACTTCTCCACAGTACAATACATCACAGTCATGTTGCTCTCACACCTTTACTGAGTTTTTCCATTGGCATAATTTGTTTTCATTTATTTCTATGTCCTTCCTATTTTGATGTACTCCTTGATTTGAAGCTATTGTCAACAATAACAACAAAAACACACATTAAAAGCCTATAATGGAGGAAGACTGCAAAACGTTTAGTGTAAAAAGTCTGGAAGATGTTATTGAGTTTCATTCATGTCAGCTTGGCATTGTTCATTGAAGAGGAACACCTGCCAACACTTTTGATGTAATGGTAGAACAGAAGAAAGGCATGTTTGGAGTTTTTATTTGCAGAGGAACCAGGGAAATTTAAAATAAAGGCATGTCTCCAAAGAAGGCCTGACCCATGAAGATGTCAGGCTCTTGGCCGTGGAGATAAA